TGTGATGCACTGCGGCATTTTCTATCCAATTACTTACTATTACCCAAAAACCTCTAGGAGAAGAACATGAAGAAGAAAGAAGGGGCAAGGGACAACACCCTAAATCCTCCATCTTGTCTCCTGTTCTCTAAACTAACTTTTTCACCCAGTGATTTAAAAAACTTTCTAATCTACACACTTACACTTCTAGCTTTTTTCATCTAACTTTAACATTTGTTTTCATGTATCACCATGAAAACATGCTCATGAATTTCATATTATATGAAATTCAGTGTTTTTCTAGATCTTATAACTAAGTATCAGAAACAAGGGCACACACTCTGTATTCCAGACTCCAACAAGTAATATCTGTGTATTATCTATGTCCTTTTGGCTATAGATAAATGCTTTCAAAGTATGTATGAATCATGTCCAAAATGCACTTTGTCAATGGAGTTGGAGCCTCTAAGTCTTCAGCAAAGAAACAAATGTATAAATAGAATATACCAGGAGAAACACACTTTGAGTAATGAACACTCACTCATGATAAAGTAAGGTGGCATTACATTGTGGTGTTTTGAGTATCTTTTACAAAGCAGGCCAAAATTAAATATATGAGCTTTGCCAGGTTTGCATGTAGTACTGTCTTGAGCAGTGGAAAAATCCATTCAGAAATTATTCTCTGCTATATTTCCATATGTGATTCAGTTCTATTTTGCTGAGCCATCAATGTTACTTTTTCTAAAGATAACATTATTTGTATTGAGGCACTTAACCACTGTGATTTTGTGAGTATTTAAGAAGTCTGAAGTACAACACAATGCTATATGGTTTTATTTAGACTATGTAGGAAAAGAGCAATGCTTAAGAACATGGTTTTGAATTTCAGTATTTCCCAAGATTATGCAAATTCACTAGACACCACATCCTAGAATGTAGTGTAACAGTTACTCTGAATCAGATTCACCTATACTTCCTAATTAGCTCTGCTATGCCAAAAGTGTTCCAATAGTGCCTCTGTATCCCAGCCCAACAGTAAGAACCAGGTTTGTTTTCTGACTCAGAAGAAAGATTAATACATCAGCTGGATGAGTCTGACTGCAGAAGGGACAGGCTTCCTGCAGCCTGAGCAAAGAGTAATGAACAGCAGATATAATTCCTACAGTCAAGTGAACTCAGAACCTGTACCCTCCAGCAGCTTGTACTGCATTTGAGCTGTAGTCTCCCAACCCCTAATTTCTCTGTGTAGAGAAATTAGTTTGATGCAGACTACTCTCATTTCACAATGTAGTATTATACCAGACCAGACACTGATTTCTATGGGGGTTTCTCACTGACAGCTCTTGTCACCTAAGTCTCACCTGGATCAAGTCTTGGCCAGTTAGTGGAAGTTGTATGAGGAGTAGCTGAGGTCAAAACTTCATCGTGAGGGACACACTGATCTCTTCTCTGAGGTGACCGCTGGCGGAACCCAAAGGAATGGCCTGAGGCCTAGTTGGGGGAGGTTTAGGTTGAATGTTACAGAAAGGTTTTTCACCACAGGATTTTTAGGCACCTGGATCAGGTTCCCCAGGGAAGTGGTTATGGCATCAAAGTTCAAGTCAGAATTCAAGGAGTGTTTGGACAATGCTTTTAGGCACACAGTGTTATTCTTGGGGTTGTCCTGTGCAAGGCCAGAAGCTGGACTCAATGATCCTTGCAGGGCCTTTCAAATTCAGCATATTCCATAGCTCTCAATTTCATTTAACTTCAAGATTTAGATAAGCTAACAATGTGTCATGATGTTTCTGGGTCAAGGTAATATAGTTTCTTTCTTGCAGCCAACTTAGAAGACTATGACAACTTCCAGTTCCTCACTGATCACTTGTAAGGCAAATGGAGTATCTTGTTGCTCCCTGTTACCTTTTAAGAATGTGTGTGCTTTCTCTTCAACAATGAATTCAGGAGCAGAGACATCAGAAGTAGTTTTAAGCAAGGATGGCTGAGAATTAGAAGTGCTGTGGCTGTGACAGCAATGTTTGAAAGTGCTTCCTATTTGACCTGGCTTCTTTTTACTGCACTGATCCCCAAGTCAGCTTACTGAATATTCATCAGAATAGCTCAACATTGCATTCTGCAGAGTACAGATAAATGAAACAGTATCAAAAGACAAAGCTTTACAAATCATGCCCATATACAGGTCCACATACATTAGTCAATCCTTAAAAGTTATTTTTTAAAAAAGTACATAAGCCTGAAGAAATGAGGTGGGGGAAGTGTTCAGCAGCTATTGCAGTTTTCTGTCACTTCTTTTCATTACAGATTGAGATATGATGTTGCCTAAACTTGTGCCAAGACATAGCAAGAGGAAGTGAATAAGAGCAAGAATATTTAAGTATTAAGAGGGCTTCTAACCAATCAGAAATACCAGTGTAGAAAAACTGGTAGAGACTTCAGAGTCTTTCTCAACCTCATCAGCTAACAGAGGAGACACATATGTAACTAGACGAAAAAATGACAGTTGCTCATCTAGGAAATTTTCTGAAATAGAGGATATGTAAAAAGCAGTTTTCTCAGACACTTTTGTTTGCCATTTTCCTGTATTTTTCCACCTCCAGAGTTTTTGCACACCAGGGTAGATGTTACCTGCTTTCATTGAGTAATTCAAATATTTTTGTTCCAAGTTTCCATCTGCTATGGCAAAAAGTGTCTAGTTCATGCTTTTTATGGCATGATAAATCCATGCTGATACTGTAACTTTGTGTGTCACTCTAATGACTTCTTTAATCACTGATTCCAAAACAATATCCAAATTATCTAACCCTGAATTTAGAAAAGATAAACTGAAATATAAGAGACTGAACATAGACCATTTCCTGGATTTATTCTTTTGCTTTAAGATAATACTGTCTGAGAGAAATAGTTTTTTCTGATTGGGATTCCAATTCCCTCAACTAGTAATAAAATAAATAAAAACCCAAAAATACTAGAAAATATGACAGGCAGCAACATCCAGACTGTGACTGTGCAGTATCTGCAGTATGTGTTTTAGACAGTTCAATGTAATGGTTTAACTATGGCCAGGCAACAAGGTAATCCAGTTCTAGTGGAACAGGGCAACCAATAAATAATTCTTGACACTTCTGTACAAGGAAATATGAATTCAGCTACATTTGAACACCATGATAATTTTGGAAATATGAAAGGTGAATAGAAATTACGAATTTTGTTTCAAAATTTCTGCTTTCATCAGCCCTGTGCAGATTTTCAAAGTACTTAGAACAAAAAGGGTTTCTGTGGGAATGTGCTAACATTTGAATGAAACTTTACCTGTAATAAGGACATGGAAGAAGTTAGAAAAATAAACAGTTCACTCAGACATTTGAGACTGGTCATGAGATCTGAACTAGAAAAAAGAGAAATTGGAACTTTTCAGCTTTGGAACAGTATAAATCACATTTCAAGAAAGAAAACACTATACATAGTCACACACCAGCTTGTTAGTGATCCTGGAATTTACCTCAGAGAAAACTGACTTTATGACAGTACTGTTGCTTCTTGTTTCAGTACTGACTGTAGATTGTAGTATAGTCTCATTGTGGAAAAAAGCTGACATCACTCATCATAGCTGTTTTTTTCAAACCAGCAGGGAAACCTGTGGAATTTAAAAAAAAACAACCCGTTAGCTTCATAGGCTTATCCACTAGACTTCATTAATACAAGCAGGAACTTTCCTTCTACAGAGACTTGTCAGGAAATAGTCAGGAGTCTAGTATACTCAATATTTGGTAAAACAAATTTTAATGTGGGCTTCTGTTTTGCCTATTAGTAAGTGGCTGTATAAACCTGGGAATACACATATTTACCATTCCAGCTAAATGAGAAATATATGGTTATTTGATCTTCCACTGGACACTGAAATTTATATGTATTCCATGGATGAACAAAATTGACCAGAGTTGACAGCTATTTCTGTCTTTTCACTCTCTTAGATTTTATATCAAGATTATAACTGAGGTAGCGGTTTTTTGCAGTGTTGCTTTAGACTATTACCTGGTTTGAAGAAACAGCCTCGTGGACATTGGTGCCATTTCTGCCTCTGTGTTACTTCACTTCCTTCCTACACTGTAACAGTCAAAAGCACCACCTTACAGCCAGACCTCGACCTAAGCTTCTCATCAGAAGGGATAAAATGTAGAGAAAAAAGCACTGGGCTGCTTATGGTTTTGCAAGGTGTGGGAGGTTGAGGGCAGAGGGAAGACACACAGGTCTCTCTCTTGAGTGCGTGTGTGTTGGTGTGCACTAGCAGCTGATGCTGACAGGAGAGTTTCTCCAAAGGCAGTAATTGTCGCCTCGCTCAGCTTAGCTGCATCTTCAGTGATGGTTGCAAGTCGGTTTTCCCAGGCTGTCCTGCACATTGGCCAGCAGCAAGGCCAAGTGTGTGTTGCAGCTGCCTCACTGCTTACACACAGAATAAGCTCTGTAGGCAGTGTTAAAGACGGACGACCTGCTATGAAGGCGGAAGTAATAGCCCAGTCTTCCTTAAAGCCATAGGTGACTTGAGACACAAGCTTGCACATAGTTCAAAAGGCTCCGAGTTTTGAACCGTGTGTTTAATTTAATGCTTTGTTTTGAAGCAAGACGAAGTTGGAAAGCACCGCCAGCATCAGCGGGTTACATGCCTTGCCAACACGGGCAACACGTTTACAATTTCTTTTTTAAGCTAATACAAAAACTCAGCGGCGTAAAGCCGCACCGCTGCCACGCTCGGCACGCGCTACCTCGGCCACCCCGGCCCGGCTCCTCCCCGGCCCGGCTCCTCCCCGGCCCAGGCCCCGGCCCTGCCCCGGGCCCGGCCCGCCCCAGTCCTGCCCCTGCCCCGGGCCCTGCTCCTGACCCGGGCCCTGCCCCAGCCCTGCCCTTGCTGGGCCCTGCTCCTGCCCCGGGCCCGGCCCGCCCCAGCCCCGCCCCGCGGCTCGCTCTGCGGGCTCTGCGAGCCCCGGGTCGGGGCGGTGCCTGCGGCCCAGTTCCGGGTGGCGGGGATGGCGCGGCAGCCGGGCGTGAGGCATCCGCGCTTGGGCCGGCTGCTGTGGCTGTGCCTACCCTTGTGCCTGCCCCTATGCCTGCCGAGCCCCGCGGCGGCGCGGCCGCCCGCCCCGCACCTCGTGCTGGTGCTGGCCGACGACCTGGGCTGGGGCGACGTGGGCTGGCACGGCTCTGCCATCCGCACGCCGCGGCTGGACGCGCTGGGGGCGGGCGGCGTGCGGCTGGAGCGCTACTACACCCAGCCGCTGTGCACGCCGTCCCGCAGCCAGCTCCTCTCGGGCCGCTTCCAGGTAGGGATGCTGCCCACGGGATGCTGCCCGCGGGATGCTGCGGCTGCTCCCTGCTTGCCTCTGGCAGCCCCCCTGCCGCTCCGGCTTGCTGGGTCTCTGCCGCTGCGCAGGGGAGAGGGCTGCGCTGCGGAAACCAGCTGCTCTGAAACGCAAGCTTCATTCGCCTTGCGAGCCCGGGAGTAAACTAGACATGGAATCGGTGCAAATTGTTCTGTTCCAGACCAGCCAAGGTGCTCTGCATGCTCCGGTTGGATTAACAGGCATGGCAATCTGTCGTGTGAGATACCCCTGCCCTAGTCTGACTCTTGAATATTTTTGCATAAACGTGGGGAGTGGAGGGTGGGAAATAAAGTATGGACACACAGCATGGACAGAAGGAAGAAACTCAGAAAGGGTTAAGTGTGTTTCAGAAACTTCCCCTCCATCTCAAGAAGTTTTGCACTTCCATGTTAACCGTAGTGATTGCTAAATAAACTGCTCTGAATGAAAGAAATGTTGCCCTGTATTAGTTGCAGGAAATTGTTCCAGGTGACACTCTTTCATAGCAGCATTTGTCCTGTTCCTGGAAACTCCAAGAATGAATAATGATGAATAGGCAAAAGCAATTTTCATTATCTTTACCAAATCCTTAAGTTATGCCATTAAACAGCCTAAAATATTTTTCCATAGTGACTATTTTTAAAATACAGTTCATAGTCTGAAGGTGCTTTCCAAGAGAGAGGACACTGCTGCATCACATCTTAAAAGTAGACATTGGAAACACCCATAGTTCAGTCTAGTTTTAAATTCATCCCATACATTTGGCTTGATAATTTAATAATCTTTGTGTTGACCTTGTTGCAACTGAATAAAACAATATTAGAAATTGAAGTAACTTTTTTTAAATAGAGGGTCATTCTGTGCAACAGTAATTATGCAGCAAATAATTATATTATGCAGCAAATATGTGGGATCTTCTTAAAATTGTGTTACCCATGGATATGATTAACAGTTGCTTAGAAACTTGTGAAAGTAACCTAAATCTGGTCCTCTCTGGAGCTGAGATTTTCATAGTCACCTTGCAATCCGTATGAAAGAAGAGCAATGGTATCCATCTAAGATAGCTATAGATTTTTTTGTTATTGTCTCCTTCTCCTTTTTCTCATTTTCCAGATACAGTGCAAGAAACTACAATGTTTTACTGATTTGTGTTATTCCGTATAGTAATGTTTTCTGTAATACAGCATTTTAAAATATTTAAAATATTTTATATATAATATAAAATTTATAATATAATTTAATTTCTGGAACCTCCTTGCTCAAAGAAAATGAGGAAGTAGTAGATCCTTTAGAAAAGGGCTTTACCCACTTGCCTAAGATCAGGGCATTTATTTGTTCTAAAAGTCATTTCAGAGAGTTGCCAAATTTCAAAGCAACGCTTTGAAAGTTAATCATGCAGCTTGCTACACTGGTGTACTTAGTGGAGTCATAAAATCTGCTGTCATCTGCTCCAGGGGATCGTGGAGGCTTTGTGCTTTGACACGCACAGATTGACAGAAATATTTAATGTATAAACAAGATATATTTACTTGTATACATATGTTTGCAGGCCTAGCTTTGAGGTAGTGCCTTTTTGATTGAGGAGAACACAGGGAAGTTGGAAAAAGTCACCTTATAGCATCATAGCTGAAGAGGTTCCTTATATCAAGCATTATATAGTACTTGAAGTATTGTTGTCGGTGATGGTTTTGTGAAAAAATACAAAATTCACCACTTATGAGGACTCAGAACTTTGGCAGAGTTATTAAATATCAGATCTAATCAGTGTAAAACTTGTGTCATCCCCATATCCAAAAGCTTTCTGTAGTGCTTGTACTCATTGGAAGCATGTAAATAAATATATAAGTGTGTATACATAATGTCCATTTAGAAGAATAATAGCTTTTATCAACCTTTCCTCCAATGACTGTTCTATGATACAGGCAAAAGCTTGATAGCTTTTTTTTTTTTGATAGCTGCCACGTGTGTTTTTGCCCATTTCAGTCCCATTTAAAAGCTCTCACTCCATCTTGAGATGTCCCTAGCCTTCAAAGAGACTATAATGGTAGTTCCAAATAAATAAATGATAAAACCTGTTAGATTTCTAGTTAAATGCATAAAAGACTTTGTGGTTTTTTGTTTGTTTTGGATTTGTCAATTGTGATTGATGTATGACTGGGAATATGTTAACTTTTGCAGTGCTATTTTTTTGTTTGCCTCCATGCAACCCCTGCCCTCCACCTGCAGCTTCCTCATCATCTTCAGTGCTACAATGGTAAAATGAAGAGCCCCTAAAACTAATGCTAATCTCTAATACAGCTGTGCTTCTTTTTGGGCCTGCTTATAAATTAATCCATGGGCTGCGTTGTAAATGGTTTCTCACACTTCTTTTCTCTGCTAGATCCACACAGGTTTACAACACCAGATAATATGGCCATGCCAGCCCAGCTGTCTGCCACTGGATGAGAAACTCCTCCCAGAACTACTTCAAGAAGCGGGATATGTTACTCACATGGTGGGGAAGTGGCATTTGGGGATGTACAGAAAAGAATGCCTTCCAACCCGCAGAGGATTTGACACCTATTTTGGTAATGGTTTGATTTAACATGGGCAATAAATGCAGTGTTAAAAATGGTGAGAAACTGCCCCATTCTTGTAACAACAGCAGATTTACTATTTATTTATAAGTAAAGCCATACATGGGTATGCACATTTCCGAAGTATCATGCTTAAAAAATGCTAATGCATTAAATGTATGCTGAACTTACTGAAGAAAGTATCACAATTACTGTGTGGTTCCAAGTAAGGTATTTCTCTCTTAGTATTTCCCTCGCCCCTCCCTCCTTCCCAGAGTTAACTTTTAACTCTGAATTCTCTGTCTCCTACCTACAGCAGTACAGGGGAATAGATAATGGGGGTTACAGCCAGTTTGTGTGGCTTTGGTTTTCCAGAGCTGGTAGTGAGATCATGTGAAGGCCTCTATAAAGTAGTATCCAAAAACTCCCAAGTTAGGAACTCGCAGACTAAACAATAGATTGTCCAAGTGTGAGTGCATTACTTGCAGAGCAACTTGTAGCTACCCATTGTTTATTGTTCCAAGTGTGGTTTGGGTTCCTGTCCCAGTATTGATTCCATATTTATTAGTTTTGCACAAGTGTCACAGATATTATGTGGCTTGGGCTGTCTGCTGTACATCTTTTTCTGCACAGTGCTGAGTTCAAAAAGGCCCATCTCCACTTGGTTGTGTTTAAGACACTTTCCTTGAACAATGAATTTCAAAATAATTGTTTCAATGCAGAGGCCTGTGTTGCTCTTGTCTAACCTGAGGCTTAAATGAAGATTGTGACTGTGCTACATGTGTGCCTATGTTAGTCCAAATGTAAGTTGGAAAAAACTGTTCCCTTAGATAGTTTACTTCTTTTTGTTTTCCAGGGTGCTCAGGGCAATGGTTTCACAACTGAATTAAACTAATATATGTGGATTGGAATATAATGGCTCATTGCTTAAACATTTGTGCTTTCTCCCATCCCTTCACAGGAGCTTGGGATCTTTTTGATGGCATAGGTGTAGATAGGCTGCTGCTCCTTGTGAAATCTCACCCTGGGACCAAGCAGGCTTTTAATGCAGGAGCCTGAGGACTAGCTGGCTCTGGGTATGGTTTTTGGGTGCCCAATGTGACATTATTTTTCAGAGGACATAGTGGTTTAATATCCTGCAATGTTCATGTGATTGCAGTAGGCAGTGTTTATGATTAGGGTTGTTTGATTCCATAGCACAACCGATGCAGTCTCCCCCAGCGGGCATTCAAAATGGAAAAAATGCAACATGTGCCTCTAAGTACATTGATGTAAACAGTCTGCCTGTAAAAACACTGTATCTTTTGAACGATTACCCATTTTTTCATCCTAAAATGTCTAAATAGTAGACATTTTTATTGCATTTAAAATAACTTTATTTTTTCTGTTTTTGCAGATATTACTAGCTGCAGCTGCTGGAAAAAAAAAAAACTTTAAGTAAATTTCTTCTGCCTTGGATTTTTGTCCCAAGTTTTTTTTGCAGAACATACAACTCTATTTTTTTTCAGATTCATCCATTTTTTCAGGATATTGGGGGAGAAATCTAAAATCTAATTTAAAATGTAATTTTTGAGATCCAAGTGATTTTGAAAAGTTTTATTTGTGACTGCTAAAACACAAAGGCTCTCCATGCCAAACAGGCTAGCCCTAGACAGGAGCAAATCTATATATGTAGATTTTTTTCTTAATTTCTTTTGGATAACTCTAGATGATAGTGTCTTTTCTTCACCAGCTGGTGTCAGCAGTGGATCAGAAATTACATTACAGCAGACATAAAAGGTGATTCATACTTGAGTGTTTTTGAATAAATGAATGTAAAAATTCCAAACTTTACAGTAGGGGTGGAAGCCTTACATCAAACGTAGAAAATCATACCACCAAAGATCAGACTAGTTCATGGCTAGATTGCTGCTTTGGCTCTCAGTGCATTAGTTTAATGGTCATGGGCATCGAAGTATTAATAAGAAGTCATTGAACTGTTTTCAAAGTGTTTAATTTCTTTTGAAATTACTGCTTAGCAATGAAAAACCTATGAGGTATCAAATGTGGAGCTACTTAAATGTGTCAGAGGTGTCACAGTAGGTGGTCTAGGGTTGGATTAGTGTTTTAGCTCAAAACCACTAATTTTTTGACATTTATGTTTGACTTTTTTTCTTCTCCTGATGTATGTGTTTATGTGACATGATGTTGGCCTTCTCATTTGACATCTTTTCCTCTTCTAGGCTACCTCCTAGGCAGTGAGGATTATTATACTCATGACCGCTGTGTCCTCATCAAAGCAAAGAATGTGACGCGCTGTGCTCTGGACTTCCGAGATGGAGAAGAAGTTGCAACTGGATTTAAAAATGTGTACTCCACAAATTTATTCACAGAAAGAGCTATAGATCTTATAGCCAATCACAAAACTGAGAAGGTACAGGCAACAGCTGCTACTCTGATAACTTGAGCATTAAAGAATGTTATTTAAAAAGTTAATGAAAGAATGTTTTTTAAAAAGTTAATGAAATATTAATAGAGCTGTGTTTGAGCTGTAATTCAGGGTTATTTAGTAGGTGCATAGAGCTAAATGTGAGAAGTGGCACTGGTAAAACTCATCTTTTGCCAAAATCAGCTTTGTCTGCATGGTCCTGGCCTGCTACCCTTCTCCATTTCTTTTACTATAGTACAATTAATAAATTTTTAGAAATGGCTTAGCAAGTAGTTTGCCCTTCTAAAAAGAGAAGGGAAGTTTAAGATGAGAAGTTTAATAGAAAGAAAATAGAAGAAAAGATACACCCGGTGTTTTCCCACAGCTTTGCAAAAGTAGTTTTTCAAAACTTTATTAGTTTATGTGCAGGGATTAGGAGATGTGGGAGAAATCAAAATACACTACCTGCACTGTTCATAAATCAGGTCTGCTTTTGCTGCAGTAACTTTTGCACTTAGTGCTTAATGTTCAACTAATTTCCATTCTGTCCCTTCAACCCCAGCCCCTCTTTCTCTATCTTGCCTTTCAGTCTGTGCATGAACCTCTCGAGGTCCCTGAAGAATACATGAAACCATATTCTTCCATAAAAGATGTAAAGAGGCGTCATTATGCAGGAATGGTGACTCTTATGGATGAAGCAGTAGGAAATCTTACTGATGCTCTGAAAACATATGGTCTTTGGGACAACACAGTTCTTGTTTTCTCTACTGGTAAGTTCCTTCAAGTATTTTTTCAGTCATAACTTTGCTACAGTGTCTAACAAGCTGACTACAGAGACATCTGGCCCCTCTGTCTTTTCTCTGATTATTTTCTAGTGACAGAAGAGTGATGGAAGTTGAGCAGGAGCTTAAGTGAAACAACAGTCTCTCTCTTCTCTTAGGGCTTTCTCAAGCTTAACAAAAACAACTCTGAAGTAGTGTCTGTGCAAATGGGGAATGCTCCTGGTATTGTAGAAATACTTTTGTAAAATCTGAAGAGTGTAGTGGAGTTAGAAGCATCCTACTTGACACTGCAGTTACTGAGGATCTGTCAGACCTGAATCCTTCCTGAGAACTGTCTACAAATTTATTTCTTCTGAAGCAGTCTGTCCTGTCTGTGCATTGCCATGTGTTGCATAAGGCCCAAACAGCCAGACAGCAAGCAGTTTGAAGCCAAATAATTTCTTTCCTTCACTTTAAGGTGACATGTAGTTTTTGTCTTTCTTGAACTGTTTCACTAGCATCTTACTCCCATGAAACAAAGATATTTTAATAAAACAGCTGAAAATATGATGAGCAGTCTAGTCAGCCAAACTTCAATCTAAGTTTTTGTATGTACAGGCATATGATCCTGTTACTAGATTATTAGAGTAATGCAAATAATACGTTGCAAAGCAGTCTCCTTTGTTTCCAAATTAAGAATGAAACAGAACCTTTTTGAAATACAGCTGCTTGGCTGGGTTTCAGGAACATATTTGCTCTTGTTTGGCTGGAAGTAGTAAATAGCCTTTCAATGCATACAGTTGTTCTTTTGTCCACACTTTACATGTTAGGGCTGTCAAAATGGCAAATTAATTTTCTGTGAACACTTCAAATATGGCAAAAACAACAAAACAAACAGACAAGCAAAACAAAAGCAGAACCAACCAAAGTTTGATGAAAATGCATTGATGTGTTTTGAGTTTAGCAGCTGCTTCCTATAGCACTCAGAATCTTGGAATTTCATTTTGAGTCCAAACCTATTTGCCTTATGATGTTACATTGTGTCCAGGATTTGGCTCTAGCAGGATTTGATAACTCTTCTATGCCTGTGTCTGTTTGCAATGTTTTTATATTTAGAACTGAAAGTAAGCAAAGACATATGGAAAATGATACCAGTATTTATTCCGTATGGAAAAAATCCAGTCTTTGCTGATGGGGCTTGGTAGAGTTATTTCAGTAATGCTTGTTCAGTACATCGTGGAATAAAACTAAATACATCTGAGCTAGAATTACAAGATATGAATGAATTAAAAAGACAAATTTGTTTTTTTCATTTTTAGAAGTGTTTATTTTTCTGAACAGTGAGAGTCTACCCTGTTTTTTAAAGTGATTACTTTGCAATCATTGCAGGTATGTTTCAACAAGAGTCAACCAACCAATCAGAGTAGAATCAGAGTCTACCCTATCTAATGTGATTTATTTTGAGTTAACTGACACTTGAAACTTCCAAAAGTTAAATTTAATATGATTAAAATGCATGGAAATTTGACTTAAATCAGGCAGGACAGAGGCCAGTGATTTGAGTTTTTTCAGTGTTCTCTCTTAAATTCATGCAGTTATTCTTTACAGGCATAGAACATTGTATGCAGTAAGGACCCAGTTTCAAAAACCAAGTGTTATAACCATAAAACATTTTTAAAAGACCAGAAAAGGAAAACAAAACTGTCAAATTATCCAGTTTTTCTATATTTTGTTTAGTGCTTTTGCAGGTGGTGTGTTTCAGAATGGACATTAGAACATGTCTGAAAAGAAACACGCAGCTGAGCATCTGATGCAGAGAGCTGTGCTGTGTCAGATATTCCTGCACAGCTTACAGGTCTTTTGGAATTGACAATCCTGGTGTGCACTGGTAGCTATAAGATGAGCATATGATTATAGTATGATTTACATTCAGCTCTTGAGGACGTGTCTGCTTGAAGAAGTGCCTCTCCCTGCCCCAAGTGCTGTTCTGGCACTGGGAGACCCTCTTTTTGCTTGGTGGAACATAGCAGGGGACACACACTTTTCATTATGAACAAAAACTCTCTCCAAGAAAGTTCTTCCCATTTTGTGGGATTAAGAATCAATTTAAGGATTTCAATGAAGACTGAAAGGGAGAACCTAGGGAATGATAAAGTTTATCCGTAAGTTTAATGAGCAATGTTAAAGACACAAAATCATCATACTTCCCCAGAGGCATTTGGGGGTGCTGGTGGGTGAGAGGCTGGACATGACCCAGCCATGAGCACTCCCAGCCCAGAGAGCCAAACGTGTCCTGGGCTGCATCCAGAGCAGCGTGGGCAGCAGGGCCAGGGAGGGGATTCTGCCCCTCTGCTCTGCTCTGCTGAGACCTCACCTGCAGGGCTGCATCAGCTCTGGGGTCCCTGCACAGGAAGGACATGGACCTGCTGGAGTGAGCCCAGAGGAGGGACACAGAAATTATCAAAGGGCTGGAGCACCTTCACTGTTAGGAGAGAGTTGTGGTTGTTCAGTCCGGAGAAGAGAAGGCTCTGAGGACACCTTACTGCAGCCTTTTAGTACTTAAAGTAGGCTTATAAAAAATATGAGGCCAGAGTTTTTAATGGTACCTGTTGCAATAGGACAAGGGGTGATAGTTTTAAACTGAAGTAGAACAGATTCAGACCAGATATAAGGAAGACATTTTTCATAATTAGGTTGGTGGAGCACTGGAGCAGTTTGCACAGAGAGGTGGTGGACGCTCCATCCCTGGAAACATTCAAGGTCGGGTTGGATGAGGCACTAAATCAGCTGGTCTAGTCAAAGATTGCTGTGTAGGGGTTGGACTAGGTGGCATTTAAATGTCCTTTCAAACCCAAACCATTTTATGAGAATAGCACTCTCTGTTTTGTTAGCTGTGGTGTTTGATAAAGGTATTGTTGAAAGTCTGTAGAGGAAGAAGTAGGCCCTACTTTTACTAGATTCATTATTATTTCCTTTTTAGTTGAGGCCAAAATTCACACTTCCATGATTGTATCTCTCCATGCTTTAAAAGTCCTGTCAAAGAATAATTTACAGGTGGTCATTTTGTATTTTGTAGTATATCAAGTAGCATTGCAACAAACATTGTCTTCTGACTACTTCTCTGTGTTGTTCTCAAACTGTAGATCTCTTTTTAGTGGGTTTTTTATTTAGAATATGATGTAATCTTTGATATTTTGGTAGGGTTTTTTCTATTACACTTTTTCATGTTTCTTCCTATTTGTTATGGCTCAAGAGGGATTGCCTTGAAAACATGCCAGTTGACAAATGGAAGTACTGCACACTTTGAAAGAGTCTTGTGAAATGTCTAGAAGAACTTCAGCCGTTCTTTAAAGTGGCCAGATGGAGATACCAGGATAAAGGTGTAACTTCATTATGTTTGGTCATTAGAAAAATCTGACTCCCTCAGTTTGTCCTGTAAATCAACCCTCTGGTGTCCTTTTGAACAGATAGACGGGCTATTTCCACAAGTAAATAAGAAAAAGGTGAACAGGTTCAATGATATGTGGTGTTATAGTTGTGTATCAAGTAGTAGCTTGAAAAGTCTTGACTGGTTTGATATGAAGTAGAATTTGCTTTTATGGAGTATTTTTTACATTGCATATACAAGTAAGTCTGTGCTAATGAGGTCATTAATTAAAATGAAATATTTGCTTGTTTAAGCTACACAGATGAAAATTAATGCAGCAGTGGTGGGTACCCATGGCCTTTTGTCCACTTGAAATCAAGGACAATGAGTGATAGGGCATATTTTTCCTTTTAGCCATTATAGGAGACTGTAATTACAATTTCCCTGAAGAGGGCCTTAATTTAAAGTGAAGGTCATAAAAAGCATTAAAATGGTACAAATTTGGCTCAGAGTCCAAATTTTGCTTCAAACACAGAACTGTGATTTGAGGTGAGAAGTGGGGATTTGCTGTGAATATGATGTGATTATAGTTTCTTCAAGGTATTACAAGAAATTTTGGTATAAACTTGCCAACATTAAAGCAAAGGAATATGACCCCTAATTTCAGTTCTGTATTGAAGCTACTATCCTTTGCTTTATTTAACTTTCAGCTTTTAGTTATACAAAAACACTGTGGAGCAACGCTCCTTTTTTCCAGAATTTCTTGCCGTTTTTAAACGTGGACTAGCGCTGTAATGCCTGGTAGTTGCCATAAGAGGGCTTTGAAAAGCAGAACACGTGGAACTTTTCAAGCCTTGGTTTACATTGCTAAGAGGAAACCACATAAATCCTTTCCATAATGGAGCATGTGACAGTGATGACTGTTTTCACTCCAAAAGACAGTCTTTTTATCATTGTAGAATTATGATTAATAAGAGCACAGATTGTTTTGGACATACTTACAGTATGCATAATATTTGGACTGATGTTTATACAGTCTCTATCATACCCATAGGTTTTTTTTTTCTCACAAGATTTCATATTACCTTTTTCCCCCCCCCCTTTTTTCTCTTTTATTTTTTCTTTCATTCCACCCAGCATATTGTGGCTTTTGGTTAATGAAATACTGGATCTTCTTTTTCCTATTTCCAGTGCCTTCTCTGAGACTATGAATCTGACTTTCACTGATTCCTTAAGAGCGTTTTTTATCTTCTTGATATCTTTGTTCAGAAATGAACTACCGCTCCTTCACTTTTGCTTTTAAGGGACTTCAGAGAGCCTTCTAATTGCAGATTGGCCAAGCCAACTGATTAGAGCAGTTATTCTCTGTCTGTTATGTCTGAGGTGCTAATTTTGAAGGTTGTGCTCTCAGATTCCTCTATTGCAGACCTGAAGACTTGTTTTAATTGGCCTTTCAGAGGTTTCTGAGAGGTTTGGTATGTTGCCAATCAGGAAGATGCCTGGGCATCATCTGCTGCTTCCTAAGTGGAAGTAAGCATAGGTGCCTTAGCTGCAAGCACCTTCAATCAACCTAGTTATTTGAGTTATTTGAGTTCATCTATTCCCAAATATTATTTTTCTTTCTTGTTTATTTAACCTTATT